ATATTGCTTATTTATATTACTATTTAAGCCAACATTTCAAGAAGTTTTTCAATAAAAACAGCCGCCGTGTTCTCTGGACCATGGACAGTAAGGATAACACAAGCTGTTCTCAGCATTAGATCTACAGTCAACATCTCTCATGTATGGGGTGCATCAGTACAAATGGCAAGGGTGACTTGCACATTTGTAAGGGCACCATTCATGCACAGACATATGTACTAGTTTTAGAGCAACATATGCTAGAGGTGATCTTTTCCATGGAAGGCCCTGCATTTTCTGTTGAGAATATTCAAAACCATATTTGGCATGAATTACAAGTGCATGGCAGCATAAGCAGAGTGTTTGGTGCAAGACTGGCCTTCCTGCAGTCCTGATCTGTCTCACACTGAAAATGTATGGTGCATTACATTATTACATTACATTATGGTCATTTTGCAGATGCTCTTGTCCAGAGTGACGTGCAACAAAGTGTTTTGCCCGGACAAGGAGTGCTGAGAATTCCAATCAGGAAGTACAATTTAAATATCAGAAGTGACAATACATAGAAAGGACATAGCTCAGTGAATGGCACCTGGAGCAAAATGAATCCGTAAACAATTCATTAAGTCAAACACCATTTGCTTAATGATAGTGATAAAAACATATTGTGATGTTACACAGTGGAAAACAGTCAACAGAGCCAACTTCTTTGGACCTTGTAGCAGGCATTTATTTTCGACAATCAATTTTATTAATTTGTCACAACATCAATAATGTATTGTTGTACAGTATTCAATATACTTGCCGATGAAAGCACATTTCAAATCATTCTTTTTGATGTTATTTGCATTTTCCATGATGTGCCAACTTTTTCAGAATTGGGCTTGTACTTGATGCCAAAATCTCAGGAGCTTAAGTCAAATCAATGTCAGAATATTTTAAGGTGACAATGGGATCAGTGTCATAAATGTTAACAACAGAAGCCAAACACCAGAAAACAGCAACAGTGTAAAATAACTGTGGTTACACAAGTCAAAGCTCTCCGACGGAGACAGAGAGATTCCCGGGAAGACAGTTTCTAGTAACCACACAACTAATGTGTTGTGCCATTATATCCGTTCATCTGAGAAAAATGGCTTATCATCCATTTCTAGAGAGAGGTGGCTCCCAATATGCACTAAAAACAAGATTACAATCAAAGACTGACCTGATAGGATTGCAGCTCGTATCATTTATTTGTCTCGATCAGAGGAATTTGCTGCTTATGGGCATAAAAAGTTGCACTTTTACACATTTTGTCATCTTTAAGTCGTGTCTCATGAGTTCCAGCACTGTGCTTTGTCACATGCTGTATGTGTATCTAAATGGGTCCTCGTGGTTTTCATCCAGCTGAAATGCACTACACACTGCTCTTGATTAACAAAAAGTTAGGGCAAGGTCATCACGCAGAAAATGCAAAATAGCATTCATTGATGCAATGACATGAGGGGGGAAAAAATCCATATTTTGCCTCCTTTTTTTTGGGACAAATGGAACATCATTAAGGCTTCGGATCTTTCCCTCACTCTGGATACAACTGAGGGGTAGATCAGTTATAAAAATGTATGCAAAATTGTGTGTAGTACAATAAAACGACCTTTTACTTTTTTTTTCTGTGCAATGAGAAAGACGTTTTTGGACAATCAGGCATCAAGACTTTGACTGCACTGTCCCTTGACAGAAATACAGCTGTGTGTAAAAAAAAAAGTAAATACTTCAAAGGGTTCAGCACAACAAGTGCACTGCCTGGCTCCATAATCTGGCTTTTAAGTCTTTTTAATCTTACAGTTATGAAATACTCCTTTGTTTATGTGTGCGTTTGTTTGATGTTTGTGTGTGTGTGTGTGTGTGTGTGTGTGTGTGTGTGTGTGTGTGTGTTCTGAAGAGCAAACGTGATGCATGCGGTATGCAGTCTCTTAGGGCTGTGAAGTTATCCACACTGTTAAACTGGCACCTTTTTTCCCCAGTAATTTTAATTGACACATTTTTTTGCCAGTTATTTTAACTGTTATTTTACAGTCAGTTTATAGCAGAGGTTTCGTGTATGTGAACTGTAAACCACAGTTAAATGCGTGCAGCATTCTATATAACAAGGAGGCAATGCGTTAATTTTATTGATAAATTCAGTTAATTTATAACAGTGCACTGATTCATAAATGAGTAGCTGGTTGTTTGTTCCTGGGTGAAAAATGCAGTTTTAAAGTTTGAATTCGACGAATAAGCTTCGTAAATAGTGGGTAGAGGCATGCCAATTTTTCGCTTATGATCTGGGGGTAGTGTCACTAACCATCTTAGTGTCTTCCTTGAGATCTGTAGTTCGTTCTGCTCACTTACTTCACAGAAACAATCGTGGATGACTAATATCTATCCTTTGCGCCCTAGTATGGAACCACCGACAGAGTTACGTTAACAGCTGAAGTTTTATTTTTCCTTAAAGGACCAGTGTGTAAGATTTAGACGGACAATCTGGCTGAATAATTGGCATGAATGGAATATAATATTCAAAAATACATTTTCATCAGTGAATTATTTCCTGAAAATCAGAGTCATAGTGTTTTATTTTCTCCAGAATGAGCTCTTTATATCAACAGAGAGAGCGGGTCCTCTTCCCCGGGGCTCGCCATTTTGCACCGCCATGTTTCTACAGTAGCCCAGAACGGGAAAAAGGTAAATAAATAAAGCACTGACACAAGAGCGCGCCTTTCGCGTTTTTGCAAGTTTTGCGGCCACCGTAGGTTCTCTGAAAAAAGGAATGATCAGTTGGTTGCAATCTATAATCTCATCACTAGATGGCTCTAGATTTCACATACTGGTCCTTTATGCGCTCATTATCTTAACACGGAAAAAAAATCTATGTGGGTCCGACAATTCATCAGGAACACTTTACGAAGACTCCGCAAATTACACCGCTAGAGGGCACAATTCCTATTATCAAAAGTAGTTAGGTTTCATTGTAAATTTATTCCATGTCATGTATATGCTGAGTTTAATGTGAAACATGACCAACAAGTGGTGCCAGGCACAACAAACCCCGCCCCTCGCACATACTTTGACCTTCTTTTCCGAAATTCGATAGGCATCTATTCTGGGTCAGTGGCAATCCCTAAACCGAATTTGGGGTGAATCTGGCCATTAGTTTTGCTGCTAAAGTGTAAAACAAACAAACAAACAAACAAACAAACAAACAAACACAGAAACAAACTGAACAAAAAACAATACCCCTTGCCCTCACCCTTCGGGTGGGGTGGGGTAAATATATGTACAGCGAGGAATATAAGTATTGAACTCGTCAACATGTTTCTCGGTAAATATATTTGTAATGGAGCTATTGACATGAATTTTTCACCAGATGTCAGTAACAACCCAAGTAATCCACTCATAAAAAGAAATCAAAACAAATAAGTCCATAAATTATGCGTAATAAAGTGGAATGATACAGGGGAAAAGTATTGAATACACTTCCTGAAATTTATTTAATACTTAATAGAAAAACCTTTGTTGGTAATGACAGCTTCAAGACGCCTCCTGTATGGAGAAACTAGTCGCATACATTGCTCAGGTGTGATTTTGGACCATTCTTCAACACAAACTGTTTTCAAATCTTGAAGGTTCCATGGGCCTCTTCAATGAACTCTGATCTTCAATTCTTTCCATAAATTTTCAATTGGATTCAAGTTGGGTGATTGGCTGAGCCATTCTAGCAGCTTTATTTTTTTTTTTCTGAAACCAACTGAGAATTTAATTGGCTGTGTTTGGGATCATTGTCTTGCTGAAATGTCCACACTCGTTCCATCTTCAGCATCCTGGTAGATGGCAGAATATTCTTATCAAGATTGTCTCCCTGCATTTCTCCATTCATCCTTCCTTCAATTATATGAAGTCTGCCAGTACCATATGCTGAAAAACAGCCCCACACCATGATGTCCCCACCTCCAAACTTCACTGTTGGTATGGTGTTTTGGGGTGATGTGCAGTGCAATTTGTCCTCTAAACATGTTGATTGCTATGACATCCAAAGAGTTCGATTTTGGTCTCATCTAACCAGACTATATTCTCCTAATATTTCATAGGCTTGTCCAAATGTTGTGCAGCTAACTTCAAATGAGCTTCAACTTGCTTTTTCTTCAGCAATGGAGTCTTGCGTGGTGAGCGTGCATAGAAGCAATGGCGGTTGAGTACATAACATTGTTTTCTTTGAAACAACTGTACCTGCTAATTCCAGGTCTTTCTGAAGCTCTCCGCAAGTGGTTCTTGGCTCTTGGACAACTCTTCTGATTATTCTTTTGACTCCTCTGTCAGGAATCTTGCAAAGAGCACCTGGTCGTGGCCGGTTTATGGTGAAATTAAGTTCTTTCCACTTCCAGATTATGGTTCCAACGGTGCTCACTGGAAAATTCTGAAGTTTAGAAATACGTCTGTAATCAATGCCATCAGTATGTTTTGCAACAATAAGGTTGCAAAGGTCTTGACAGAGCTCTTTGCTTTGACCAATCATGAGATGCTTCTTGTGTGACACCTTAGTGATGAAAAACTTAGTTTATGGACTTATTTGTTTGTTTTGACTTCTTTGTGTGTGTGGATTATTTAGGTTGTTAGTGACAACTGGTGAAAATTTCATGTCAATAGCCCCATTACAAATATATTTACTGAGAACAATGTTGACGCGTTTTCCCCGCTGTGTGTGTGTGTGTGTGTGTGTGTGTGTCTCTCTCTCTCTCTCTCTATATATATATATATATATAAACTCACCAATTGAACACAAACAGTCATTTACCGCAACATTCATTAGTTGCGCCAAGATTTCAAGATTTTAGTTTTAATTCTTTCGAATGTCGGTTTACCTATATTTGAAACATGTCTCAGGGTATAGGCTACGGAGCTAATCATCAGCAGCAAAACAGATAAATTAATAAATAACCAAGCTGCGTAGTTTACAGTGTCTGAAGACACGCATTACTAATGATTATTATTAAATCAGGGGTGGCGCGGTGGCGCAGTGGTTAGCATTGCCGTTTCACAGCAAGAGGGCGGGTTCGAAACCGGCCTGGGGCCTTTCTGTGTGGAGTTTGCATGTTCTCCCCGTGTTCGCGTAGGTTTCCTCCGGGTACTCCGGTTTCCTCCCACAGCCCAAAGACATGCACGTCAGGTTAATTGGAGACACTAAATTTCCCATAGGCATGAGTGTGAGAGTCAATGGTGTGTGAATGGTGCGTGATGCGCCCTGCGATGGATTGGCGAGCTGTTCAGGGGGGTCCCTGCCTTCGCCCGCAGTCAGCTAGAATAGGCTCCAGCTCGCAGTGACCCACTGGTGTAGAGAATGGATGGATTATTAAATGATTTCTTCGACTACAGTAAAATGATTTGTGTGTGACGTAATGTTTGGCAAACGATTGCCTGTGGTCTCGAAGGACATAGGCTTTTTGCATTGCTCCCCTGCTATACAAATATTACCGTTGCATCACGCAAATTTATACAGTAGCATGTGGTTCAATTAAGCAACCATTTACAGTGTTGAATATTAACCTTAGGGAATTCCTGGAATAAATTGTGTAAGGTAGGCCTGCTAAACTTCAGATGGGCTCGAAACTTTAATTTACATGAATTGCAATTGGTTATAGGAACGATACAATCCAACGAATTATTGATCCTATTTAAATACTGTCTGCAGTAATGCTTTGAGACATATGCCATAATTATAAAAAAAAAGTCAGATATTTGGTATGTGGATAAACTGACATTGCAAAATGATTCATCAGCTTGTTGCAGAGGGGATTGCTCGGGAAGCTATGCGGTCATTGCCAAATTATTGGCCTCGCATAATTGCCTATCTCATTTTTTAAGGTTTTTTCTATCATTATTATTATTATTGTTGTTGTTGTTGTTGTTGTTTTATTATTTTTAAGAGAATGGATTTTATTATTTTTAAGGTTTCGAGAGAAAAAAATGAAAAAGCCCATTTTTTTCGCCAATTCGAAAGAACAAGCAGCCGATATCTCAATTTGGCAAAAATATGACTTCGGCAATTATGCAATGAGGATAATGATTATTGTCTTCCAAATAAGGAACCTACTTTTATCAGAACTATCACACGTCAGCTCAAAGTCGCGGAATTTTTTTACAGTAACACCACAACAACGCTAGCATGGCTTGCTGCCTCATCAGAAGTTGTACGCCGGTGGTATCATCGCTGGGGGGAAACCTTTAGCCACCTTCATCCACTCGCGTGTTCTGGTATTGTACTCTAGGGTCTTCATTTACAACGTGCTTGGTTTTATTCGCACGTCGTTGCCTGCGGCTAGCCACAAGCGACCTACATGGCTGGCTAAAAGCTGCCACATAGCGATAATACGAGGCGTCTCATTTATGCAGTAGCCACGCAGGCTGCACTGGCTGACCATTGTAATCGTTGCTAGGCGTTTTCGCACGGAGAGGTTACGCGCATTATTCAGTTTACGGTAATTTGACAACCTTATCTTATTGACTAAATGTAATCTTTTGTGTTCTTTATGTCAAATCTTTCCTAACTTCCTGATGCCATTGGTGATGGGCAGTTTACAGGTATCGTGTAATGCCACTTCCTGGTGTTTGGTAAGTTCAGTTATTAAGATTAGTTTCGTTTTGAAAATTGTCGACTAACGTTGGACGTCAGGCGAGCAACACAACTTTCTTTATTGGCCTTGCCCTAAACATTACTATTGCAGTACCAGTTGGGTATGCGCCTTCTTTGCTGCAAATCTGCGCCCCATTTCTGTCATTTCTCAGCTGCGCGCGAGGTAGATTGTGAAGAAGGAATTCGCGTACACGGTGTTGATGTCTATCTCGTGCGGTATCTTAGCTGTATCGCCTGGTATTACTGTGGAAGCGTACATTTGACCTGAGTCAAATGTGTTTATCCTTTAGACCCCTGCACAGTTTCTGCCCTTTTCTTTGAAAAAATGGTTTATACAATACAATTACTTCCAAATACAGGAATAAATTACCATTTATATGATTGAAGGTTTCATTGGATAACATATGCGCGGGACAATGTGCCAGAATCGGCATTGTTATTTTCCTTCCCTCATTTGGGCAATTCCAGCGTTACTCACGTTACATTTATTGCATTAGGCTGTGGTATAAAATTGATTCATTACTTATTCAATGGACAGAACTTCAAAACTTCTACATTGTGGCAACCTCTGACCATAATGAACTTTACTAGAGAAAACCTGAAATGAACCCCTCAATGGTTATGTTGGCTGACTGAATTTTTTCCAACGTCACTCGCATTACTAAAAAGTAACATGGCTCCTTTTTCATTTAAGTTTGGTCTAATCTTCTTGATCAATCATGCATTACAGAATAAATTGGATTATATATGTTTGAACCTTTATTACTGAAAATTCTAATACAACTAGGATTTCAACTTGATGCAACAGTAATTTTCTGCAATGGGCCCTTAAAACAAAAAGTCCTGTTACTCACGTTACAAGTAGGTTTTAAGTATCTGGAAGCTATTGCCATAGCTTGACTGAACTGAGCATGTAAACGTAGTGACTGTTTCACGAATGTCAGCCATTTCTATTCAATAGGCCTGCATGATTTCCAAATTCTAAGGCCTCAATCTGTATGTACATCTGCCACCCTCTATCCCCCCCCCCGACAAATGTCACATTCGTGGCCCTTAGTTTCTCAGAACAACCAGTAACTTTTTTTTTTTCATAATTCAACCAACCAAGTAGTCTCTTCACAACTTTAGGATGTGAATGGTGTCACACTTTTATTTTATATGCTTACCAAAGAAATTTGGTTTGCCTCAGACCTTCAATTTCTTCTGAACCATACACCTGTCATACTAACAATACAGCCATACTTAAACATACATGTTTGAATTTTCTGTGGTGAAGTTACACTTCAGCTGGAATTGCCCATTTGTATTATAGTTACATAATGACCTCCTGGGTCCTGCTGCCCGGTCTGCCATTTTTCACTGAAGTTGCAAAACCTTTTCCTAGCCTGACGGGGGCAATAGCTTTAGTGTTTACAGTTTTTATTGTGTTTGTTTGTTTGTAAACAGATCGGGAGAGGAACTGGATTGATGTCAAGAGAAATGCCATGGAGAAATGTGAATCGGTGACATGCAAGAAGGGGAGGCTAAGGAAGCCATATCTTGCTTGGGACGTGGAGGACAGTGACTTTGTGGATATGGAAATGGAGGAGGAGGCCTTGCTTCAGGGCTATGACAAAGAGGATGGTCGGCCCAAGGTTCGCCGTGGTATCAGGGCTGAGCTTGGCAATGTGTCCTTGCTGCTCTTCCTCTATGTGTTACAAGGAGTACCTTTGGGCCTGGCGGGGAGTATACCGCTCATCATGCAGAGCAGGAATGTCAGTTACAAAGACCAGGCTTACTTCAGCCTCGTCTTCTGGCCCTTCAGCCTTAAGCTGCTCTGGGCGCCCCTGGTGGATGCGCTTTACCTCCGGCGATTCGGACGCAGGAAGTCTTGGCTGGTTCCCACGCAATACCTCCTTGGCTTCTTCATGCTCTATCTGTCTGTCACAGTGGACACGCTGCTACAGGGGGATGGGCACAGTGGGCCGGACATTCTCACCATAACGGCCGTTTTCTTCATGCTGGAGTTTCTGGCTGCCACGCAGGACATTGCGGTGGATGGGTGGGCTTTGACCATGCTGTCCCGGGATAATGTGGGCTACGCCTCCACATGCAACTCTGTAGGACAGACGGCTGGCTACTTCCTGGGAAACGTGCTATTCCTGGCCCTAGAGTCGCCCAACTTCTGCAACAAGTACTTGAGATTTGAACCCAAAGCTATGGGTGTTGTTACTCTCTCTGGTATGCCTTGACAAAGGATTTCATCATGAATGATTAAATCCTAATTCATTTTGATTTTAGCCAAAAATAAATTGCAGTCATTTGAGATTCGCAGCATTTACTTTAGTTCACAACAGCCTTTGGCTGCCACAAGGAGTACCTCCCTAGGGGTTTATTGTTGATAATGGTATAATTGGATAATTCAATTGCGGTTTAGTTTTATGGCGAGGCTCTTTGTGAGCGGATGGTGAGTGATGGACCTACAATATCCATAAAAGTTTTTTGGGGTATGCCCTTGGGAATACGTGCGTTTAATGAGTGACCCAATAAACTTGTCCTTAGCTAGTTTGAAATCATTAGGCCGGGTATTTATCAGTGTTTCACCCTAATTTTATTACTGTCATTGCTAATATCAAGTGTGTATATTCTGTGTAAGGACTCATTTGTTTTAATTTGGTTGCAGTCCATGTAAACATCTAGGGTCTCTCTAAGTACCTCAGTCGCATCATGTTTCTGACGCTGTTGAATGAAAACGCTGCAGGGTAGGTATTCTTGAATTTTACATTCTGTTTCATGTTTTTCCATACAGAGTTTATGTTCTTCTGGGGGGTTGTTTTCCTTGTATCAACCACGTTGGTAGCGGTCTTGAAGAAGGAGAACTGTGAAAGTTCAAAGAAGAAGGGAAAGGAAGCAACTGAGGGTGTGCTGGAAACATACAGGCTACTCATCACCATCATCAAATTGCCCTCAGTATTCACCTTCTGTTGCCTGTTGCTTACAGCTAAGGTAGCAATAATAATAATTATAGAACTTTACTAGGGAGTCCTCCTGTGAACATTAGCAATCCCAATATACAGTATGTAAAGCAAGTGCCACTGCTACCTAGGCATAAAGATGTTTGAAGTTGCACAAGTTAGAAAAATTTCTTGCTGTGCTTATTAAATTCTGTACCTTTCTGTCATAAGGCTTTTTTCTGGCTAAACTGAATATTACACTACCATACTTTCTGTGAGTAGTTGCATTGGTTTCAGGTTTTTGTTTATTTACTTTCTTTTACATACAGTATGGCTTTTAGTGTACATACATAATTTTTTCTTGGTATTTATCAGCATATTTATACAGTGCCCTCCACTACTGTTGGCACCCTTGGTGAATATGAACAAATGTAGTTATGAATTAAATACCTTTATTGTATATCCTGTGGATAATTATTTCACAATATTCACAACAAAAAGTATAACCC